GGTTAGATAGACTTTAGGTTTAGGGTAAAAGTTTGGCACAACAACTTGGGCCAAAGGGCCTGTACTGTGCTATGTTCTAAGATCGAAGGGGTTAGAATCATACAATCCCAACAGTGTGGAAGCAGGCCATTTGCCCCATCGAGTCCACACTGACCCTCCAAAGAGGATCCCACCCAGACTCACTACACTACACAATCCCTGTAACCCTGCATTTCCCATGACTAACCCACCCAGATCTTTGGACTGTGAGAGGAAACTGGAGCACCCGGAAGAAACCCGCACAGACTTGGGGAGAATGTCTGTGTGGAGTTTGCACAGTCACCTGAGGCTGGAATTGAACCTGGGTCCCTGGCGCTGAGACAGCAGTACCAACCACTGAGCCACCATGCTGCCTTCTTTAGAGGGTGTTCTTCAGAGGGTGAATGATGAAAATCATGGGAGATTCTAGAACTGGTGTCACTGTTTAAAGATTTGTCAAATATTTCAGTCAGATATGAGATCTTATTTTTGTATAGTCTTGAGTTTTTCAGACTTTCTTCCTTGAGCGGTGGTGGAAGCAGTGTCTTTGAATAGTTTTAATGCAGAGGTAAACGATTCTTGATAAGTAAAGGATGAAAGACTGTCAGGGGTAGGAAGTAATATGGAGTAATCCAGTCAGCCATGATCATGTTGAATGTGGAGTAGGATTGAAGGATCACATGGCCTACTCCTGCTCCTAATTCATATCTTTGTATTTCACCATGTGAGGTAAAACCATCATTCAGCATCTGAAAGAATGGATACACCTTCGCTGTACCAAATAAATTACTTTTGTTGCCATTAACCATGATATCAGCAGAACAAACTTCATCTTGTGGGGCTGTGAAATTAGGGGAAATCGAGTGCTTCCTGTGAGTCTGCAAAATCCCTCAAGAATTAAAACAACCAACTGCGGATGCTGAAGATCTGACACAAAAATCAGAAATTGCTGGAGAAACAGATCTAGCAGCATTTGTGGAGAGAAAACAAAGTTAACGTTGAGTTCAGTGATTGAAGAAGGGTCACTGGACTCGAAACGTTAACTCTGCTTTCTCTTCACAGATGCTACCAGACCTGCTGAGTTTCTCCAACAACATTTTTTGTTTTGACTCCGTCAGGAATTAATTTCGCTTCTCAGTGACTTCTAATGTCTGGACATTTGCAGACTATTGTGGTCTGCTTTCCTGTGCTGCCAATTCAGCTCTGTACTAGCTTCTCTTTTGACAAGGTATGACATTCTGTAATAGCGACTGGATATGACTCCCACTGGTGAATTTCCTTAATAGCGTTGACCACACCTTGTTCCTTTGTGCACTTTCTGCCAGCAAACTTGCTCAGTACTCTTTTCTTGCCCACTCCTGGAAAGAGCTTCAATCACTGCAATATTCCAATCACTGTGACTGATTAGTTTCATTGAAGCTTGATGTGTTCACTGCTGTGGGCCTTCTCACCTGCTTTTTGAACATTTGCATGGGCTTCTGTTGCAGACTGCTTTCTGTCACTGTTAGGTCTCTGTCCAGCTACCCCCCACCCCATCCCACCTGTTAGATCTCTGGGCTGGCCTGGTCTTTCTCCCTTAGCAGTGTGGTGTCTCTGGGCTCCATTTCTGGAGCTCCTTGTCACTTACTGTTCACCACAGCTACGATGTAACAAAGATAGGTCTACTCTCAGCTAAGCAGACATTTACAGACTTCAATTACATGCCTATATACAATGGCTGGTAAGAGGCAGCTTTTGGAACCCTCTACGGAATCAAGTTCCAATTGCATGTGATCTGAAATCATTCTGACATTGTGTGCAGAAGGAGCATTCAGTTGCTATTCTTAAAGGCCCAGTTAAGATTTTACTCCAGGTCAACCTCTATAAATATCTTTAGCCTGAGATTCCTCGGAAATCTTTCTGCTTCTCCAAATCCGGACTCCTATGCCTCCCGGATTTTCCTCACTCCACCAGAGTCAGACTTGCGTTCGGCTGCCTAGATACTGAGCTCTGAATTTCCTCCCCCACTCTTGTTCTCTACCCTCTCCTTTCAGAGGCCCCCTTCTAACCTGACTCTTTGCCCGAGTGTTTGGTCACCTGGAATATTTTGCACAGTTTTTGGTCCCCTTACTTGAGGACAAATGTAGCTGCATTGGAGGCAGCTCAGAGGAGATTCACTAGATTGATTCTGGCGGCTGGGTTTTGTCTTATCAAGAGAAATTGAACAGTTTAGACCTACACTCTCTAGAGTTTAGAAGAACGGGAGGAGACTGAGTTATGTAAGATGCCAAAGGGGATTGACAAAATAGATGTAGAAAGGATGTTTGTTCATGTAAGGCAATCTAGAACATTGAGGTATACGTTTTAGGATAAGGGTTAACAAATTTAAGACAGAGATGTGGAGAAATTACTTCCCTCAAAAGGGTCATGAACCTGTGGAAATCACAGGTCCAGCGTGTGATGAATGCCAGGATATTGAGTGGATGGAAGGAGGAGAGAGACAATCTATAATTAGTAATGGATTGAGGGGTTATGGATAGCAGCAGGCAAGTGGAGTTGAGGCCGAGATTAGCTATGATGATATTGAATGGTGGAGCAGGCTCGAGGTGTTGACGTGTCTACTCCTGCTCCTAGGTCTTCTGCCCTAATACACCTTCTGGAGCATGGTATTGAATTTGATAACACTCAGTCATACAGCATGAAACAGACCCTTTGTGCTGACCAGACATCCCCATCTGACCTTGTCCCATTTTCCTGCATTTGGCCCTTATCCTTCTAAACCATTCCTATTCAGATACCCATCCAGATACCTTTTAAACGTTGTAATTGCACTAGCCGCCACTACTTCCTTTGGCAGCTTGTTCCATAGATCCTCCACCCTTACGTGAAAAAGTTACCCCTCAGGTGCTTTCTAAGTCTTTCCCTTTTCACCTTAAGCCTATGCATTGGCTGAGACTTTGTCTCAGTGGGAACCTGATTTGTGGCAAACTCCAGGAAAAAAAATGGACCTTTCAGTCTGTGGTTTTAAACAGAGGAAATTCTGTGCAGCTGCAGCAAACATCTCAATCTCTGTTAGTGAACAGTGGGAACATGAAAAAACAACGCACAAACAATTCAAGGGCAGATTTACTGGAAGAGTTGGGCAGTCAGGGAATGTCACCATTAGAACAACGAGTTCTTGGTTTCAATAAATGAACTGGCAGATAGGTCATACATTGTTGAATAACTTAACATCTGTCTAAAATAAGGTGTTTATGTTTTAAAGGGATGAAATTTTATGTCTTGAATTTTAATCAATCACATTGTAATCTGGAATTCAGGTGAGGACATGGATTGGAGGGAAGATCGGGAGCAGTGCGTTACTACAGGAAGTCTTAAAATGAGAGTGACAAGTCACTCAGAACTGACTCCATTACAGCACCAAATGGATGGTGGTATTTAAAGTGGAGACTTTAGGCCTGCTGAAGAATGATGTACACAAGGAATTCATGAACTGAGGACAAGAGTGCGGGGAAGGAAGCGGATCTGGAAAGCAGCAGACACTTCATTTTCCAGAAAAAATGAGGCCTGGTTGTGTAAACGTCAGATGTTACATAGCACACAGGGTCATGCTATGGATTCACCCATGATGAGCAATTTCCAACTTGTACCATTTGAGTTGCCGGATTGTGCAGGGGTGGGGTGGGGGGGCGGTGGGGGTCAATAAAATTTGCTTGGAGACAGGCTTGTGTTACAGATAACGAAAAGCAGCACACACATGCGCACACAGGGTCACTCCTTGTTCCATCAAGTGGCTAAAACAATGTATCTTTTTGGCAATGCCAACATTTGTGGCCCATCCTTAGTTACTCCTAAAATGAATGGTCATTTTGGAGGGCAGTTAAAAGTCAAGCACATTTCTGTGGGTCTGGGGTCTCAGGTAGGCCAGACTGGGTAAGGACCGCAAAGTTCCTCCATCAAAGGTCATTTGTGAACCAGATGCGTTTTTATGACAGTTGATGATGCTTTCATGGTTACGCTATGAATTAGACTAAGTTGTAATTCCAGATTTATTTCTTGAATTTTAAATTCCACCAACTGCCTTGGTGGTTTGGATTTTAACCAATGTTCTCAGAGTGTTACTGGACCATTAACATAAAAATATAAGAAATAGGAGCAGTTGTAGGCCATCTGGCCCCTTGAGCCTGCTCTGCCATTCTTGTTGTGGACTCGGCTCCACTTACCTGGCACCTTACCATAACACTTAATTCTTTTACTATTCAAAAATCTATCTTTGCCTTAAAAACATCCAATGAGGTAGCCTCAACTGCTTCACTGGGCAGGGAATTCCACAGATTCACTACCCTTTGGGTGAAGGAGTTCCTCCACTCAGTCCTAAATCTGTTCCTGCTTATTTTGAGGCTCCCCTTAGTTCTAATTTTACCCGCCAGTGGAAACAGCCTCCCTACTTCTACCTTGTCTATTCCCTTCATTAATTTATATGTTTCTATAAAATCCCCCCTCATTCTTCTAAATTCTAATGAGTAAAGTCCCAGTCTATTCAATGACAAAATATAAAGTGTCGATGGTCAATAGTGCCACAGACCTAGTAAACTTTACTCTCCAGGAATTGTTATCACAGCAATTCCAGCACTTTCTCTGAATCGTAAATCGACATTGAACAACATCTGGGACAGAGGCAACAACAAAATGTTAAAATTGAGCAGTGTACTGTCGTCCAGAGTGGGTGACCATCCCCAGTGGGAGGTAGATTACAATACAGAGCAGTATACTTGGATAACTACAGCCTTGAATTACCTCTTTGTATTACAAATGATGCTAATTTCCCTGGCATGCACAGAACTTTCTTTGTCAGAGAGTCTAAGACAAGTTGTGAGGCGAAAGGACATATGGTAATGTTGATCCTGTCCACGAGATAAGCTTTGAGGATGCAGATGGAAGAATCTTTTTTGAGCCGAGGTAAGGAATAGAGACAGTAGGAGGCCATGCAGGGAAGACCTTAATTATTTCAGTGACTTCACTATTGAGGAATGTTTAATAAAGACACTTATATGCATACATTAAATTAAAAATCTGCAGTACAAGCAACTCCAGGATGTCATTTTGCAGTTCGGATCAGAATCTGTGAATAGACACGAATACATTAGCAAATTGAAAGCAGAGCAGAGCCAGGGGAGATGTTTCGAGCTATATTGTTCCAGCAAGGTCCTTGGTCCACTGCTCTGATTTTGCAGTCAGTGCCACAACTGGCCCCACTGGCAGTTCGTGCCTGAAACTGATGGATTTTGCCAAAACAAAAGCCCGGTCTGCTTCAAGGTAGTTTGTTGTGGAACAAACTCCCTCAGAGCTCCCTTGGTGCTTTCTAACTCCTTACTCAGCCTGGTATTTACTGCCTCTGACTCAATATTCTGTTCCAGTGCTAGTACTGATTTTCTCCTTTGTTGGGGCCTGTCCAATCCTGTGCCTCCTATTCCCAGTATAATTAACTGCAGTCCTGCACAACCCTCTCCTACCAAACATCACTTTATTTTTCAACTGATCCACCAGTTCCCTCAAAAAAACTTGCACTGTTAAACCAGCTTGAATGTACACACATATGCACTGAAAACTTCTTTGACAACACTTTCTAAACCCATAGCCTTCTTGAAGGACAAGGGCAACAGATACTTGGGGAAAGTACCAATTTCTCTCCAAGCCACTCTGCATCCTGACTTGGAAACATATCACTATTCCTTCAGTGTTGCTGGGTCAAAATCCTGAAACTCTCTTCCTTGTGGCATTGTGGGTGTTCCTATACCAAATGGACTGTAGCTATTCAAGAAGGCAGCTCACCACTACCATTGGCGGCACGGTGACTCAGTGGTTAGCAGTGCTGCCTCACAGCACCAGGGACCCAGGTTCAATTCCACCCTCAGGCGACTGTCTGTGTGGAGTTTGCACATTCTCCCCATGTCTGCGTGTGTTTCCTCTGGGTGCTCCGGTTTCCTCCCACAGTCCAAAGATGTGCAGGTTAGGTGGATTGGCTGAACTAAATTGCCCGTTGTGTTCAGGGGTCTGTAGATTAGGGGGATGGGTCTGGGTGGGATGCTCCAAGGGTTGGTGGGGACTTGTTGGGCCAAAGGGCCGGTTTCCACACTGTAGGGATTCTATCTCCAGGAGAACTAGGAATGGGCAATAAATGTTAGTCTTTCCAGTGATGCCCCACATCCAATAAACAAATTTAAAACAAAACACATATCAACTGATTCTGGACCTAAGTCAAACCTTCGTTTTGACTCTTCAACTCCTTAGAAACCCTACTGAGTGTATACTCATAACTCCCATTGCACCCATCTACAATCTGCAGGTTATTTTCCATTTCCTTTAATATGCCAACATCATTGTATACCCCGGCTTCACTTAGGAACTTCTCCATTCACATTTACCGCAGAACACTGCTTCTCAAAATTATGAACTGGGCCACTACGATTCCATGAGTCCCAAATTACTGCAAAGGGGCAGTCGGGTGTCAAACTCATTATTGATATTAAAGATGTTATTGAGATGCAATAGTTTAAGTACAATGCATGAGCTAAATAGTTAGGAAAAGCTTACAGCGAATCACAGACAAGAATTGGTTACTGGTCTCCGAGGATGATGCAGAGTGAGTGCTGGCATCTGTTGCTGGTGTTCCCTCTGAACTGTTAACTAATGTAGGGTTTGGGCTGAAGCAAGACTGGATTAATTTGAAATCTCTTTCCCATCCTCTCTTGAGCCTGCTTTAACCTTCACACAGTTTACATGTGGGTCATCAACTCCAAGTGAGTCAGGGTTAAAACTATCTGGTTTCAGAGCCTGTGTTGGAGACAAGTCCTAGGCAGAGGTAACAGGCATAACCTGTGTCTGTCAGCCAGAAAGAAGCTGTGGAGGTTTTTGTCATGAGAATGAGGCTGAGAGGGGAAGAGAACTATTTGTACAAGATTCAAAGCCTATAAATTTAAGAGAGACTGATTTCTTACAGTCCATTACTTGGATTGGACTTGTCTCCAATTTCTAGGTTTCTGTATCAGATTAAGGGTTTCATTTAAGGTCTTGATGTTCCCCAAATTCTCATTAATTTTCTTCATGATGGACAATGGAGGGGCCACTGCATGGAATGTTCAAGTCAGTTAAGAACTGTTAGCAAGGATTGATTCACACCTTTAATCAGTGGAACCTTTCAGACACTGAATTATAAACCTTGTTTCAAAGATCAATGTAGGATTAGAGGAATAATTCATAAACCTGTTGCAAACTAATTTTTTGATGAGAGTTCCTGAATTATGGGGAAAGACAGTGGGACACTGCATTGCTGAGAATGCCATCAGCTACAGATTCAGGGTATTAAACTGCAGCCCAGAGATTATTAATATCAGCAGAAACATACCCCAACTGTAAGAATAAACATGGTTCATTCCTGTGATAACAGCAGAGTCTGATCCACACAGTCACTTGTGAACTCGCTGGTGTTTTAACAGTTGCGATGAATCAATGAATCCCTTCCCACACTCTGAGCAGATGAAAGGCCTCTCCCCAGTGTGAACCCGCTGGTGTCTCAACAATTGGCATGAATCAGTGAATCCCTTTCCACATGCGGAGCAGGTGAATGGCCTCTCCCCAGTGTGAATGCGCTGGTGTACAGTGAGGCTGCCCGAATGCCTGAAGCTTTTACCACAGTCAGCACAGCTGAATGGTTTCTCCTCAGTGTGCACTCGCTGGTGTTTCAGCAGAGTGGATGAAAGCCTGAAGCTCATTCCGCAAGAGATGCAGCTGAATGGTTTCTCCTCGGTGTGAACTCGTTGGTGTGACACCAGGTTGGATGAATTAATGAATCCTTTCCCACACACGGAGCAGGTGAATGGCCTCTCCCCGGTGTGAACTCGCCGGTGTAATGCGAGGTTGTACGACTGAGTGAATCTCTTCCCGCACAAAGAGCAGCTGTACGGCTTCTCCCCGGTGTGAACCCGCTGGTGCAATGCCAGGTTGGAGGACTGAGAGAATTCCTTCCCACAGACCGAGCAGGTGAACGGCCTCTCCCCTGTGTGAGTGCGTCGATGAGTTTCCAGCTTTGATGGACACGTGAATCCCTTTCCACAGTCCGCACACTTCCACGGTTTCTCCGTGGCATCGCTGTCCTCTTGCCCTTCCAGGTTGACGATCAGTTGAAGTTCACACACAATGTGCAATGTTTTCCAGTTTGCGTAACTGGTTAAAACTTTTTCCACAGTCAGTTCACCGAAACACTCTCACTCAGATGTGTGTCTTGGAGCTTTTCCTGTCAAATTTTTGTTTGAAATCTGACCCATCAGACAGAACTGACAAACATTTCTAGTTGCACATTCAGAAGCTGATGGTATTGGGATCCTGATGAACTGAGTGACTCTGTTAGGGGTTGATGTGATGTTCATTTTGACTTGTCCTTTGTAAATTCTCCCCTCTAATCCCCCCTGTAAAAAGAGTGAACAAAAATCACTGAAAGTACAGGATGAAAATTCAGAACAGGCAATTCCAGTGACTGTGGAATATTTTCCTCTCTTGATGCTCCAAAAGCTGTAAAATCCTATCCCACACACTCTCACTCCCCTGGGCCGGAATCTCAATAAAATATTGGACAGTTGTCTCTTATTTTCATCAATCAACTCTCACAGATGCATTTATCTATGTACTGGTAGGAGCGACCACCGCACAGTTTTTGTAATAGGTCAAGTTAGGCCTTCACATTGAGCACAGCCTCCCATCACATTGTTAGGGAATAGCACTTGGGTCTTTATTCTGTCATAAGTTGTGGGCGTTGCTGGCAAGGTCTGAAATGTTACCCATTTCTAATTGCTGAGTGGCTTGCTCAGCCATTTCAGCTGGCAGTTTAGAGTCAAGCACCTTGTTGTAGATCTGGAGTCACGTGTTGTCCAGACCAGGAGGAATGGCAGATTTCCTTCCTTAAAGGTCATTCGTGAACGAGGTGGGCTTTCTACAGCAATCGATGGCAGTTTCATGAGCATCAAGATTCCAATTAACTTTCAATTCCAGATTTATTAACTGAATTGGAATTCCATCAGCTGCTGTGGTAGGATTTGAATCCATATCCACAGAACTTTAGACTGGGCGTCTGGATTACTACTTACAGCTACGCAAGTGAGAGAATCATGATAACTGTGCTCAACCAAAGCCTGTAACCTCAGGGACGAGCATATCCCATCACTGTGCCATTGCCATCAAGCCAGGTGGGGGTCAACCTGGTTTAATGGAGAGTGCAGAAGGGCATACAAAGAGCAGCACCAGGTATACCTAAAAATGAGGTATCAATCTGGTGAAGCAACAACCAAGACTACTTAAATGCAAGAATAACAGAAGTTGCTGGAAAAGCTCAGCAGGTCTCGCAGCATCTGTGAGGGGAAATCAAAGTTAACGTTTCGGGTTCGGTGACCCCCTCTGCACTCTTTGTTCAACCAGGGTTGACACCCCACCCCGGCTTGATGGCAGTGAGACACTGGTGGGATATACTGGTCCCTGAGGTTACAGATTTTGATTGAGAAGGGTTCTGAGGAAGGGTTACCGGACACGAAACGTTAACTTTGATTTCTCTTCACAGATGCTGCCAGACCTGCTGTGCTTTTCCAGCAATTTCTGTTATTGTTTTTCTGATTTACAACATCTGTAGTTCTTTGGTTTTTATTTACTATTTGAATGCAAAACAGCAGAAGCAGCAAGTGATACAGCGAGGTGATCCAACAACCTTCAGATCAGGTTTAAACTCCACAGTCCTGCGCATCCAGTTGTAAATGCTAGTGGACAATTAAACAACTCATTGGAGCAGGGCCACCAAAAATATTCCCACCCTCAATGATGAAGGAGCTCAGCACATCATTGTAAATGACACGGCTGAAGTTTTTCTTTAATCTTCATCAAAAGTTTGCAGACGATACAAAGATAGGTAGAGGTACAGGTAGTATTGAGGAGGTGGGGAGGCTGCAGAAGGATTTGGACAGATTAGGACAGTGGGCAAAGAAGTGGCAGATGGAGTACAACATGGGAAAGTGTGAGGTCATGCCCTTTGGTGAGAAGAATAAAAGCATGGACTATTTTCTAAATGGGGAGAAAATTCAGAAGTCTGAAGTACAAACAGACTTGGGAGTTCCAATCCAGGATTCTCTCAAGGTAAACTTGCAGGTTGAATCAGTAGTCGGAAAGGCAAATGCAATATTGGCATTTATTTTGAGAAGACTTGAACATAAAAGCAGGGATGTGTTACTGAGGCTTCATAAGGCCCTGGTTAGGCCACATTTGGAGTATTGTGTGCAGTTTTAGTCCCCATATCTCAGGAAGGATGTACTGGCCCTGGAGCAGGTACAGAGGAGGTTCACGAGAATGGTGCCAGGAATGAAAAGCTTAACGGAACGTTTGAGGACTCTGGGACTATACTCATTGGAGTTTAGAAGGATGAGGGGGGATCTACTTACAGAATACTGAATGGCCTGCACAGAGTGGATGTTGAGAAGATGCTTCCATTGGTAGGAGAGACTAGGACCTGAGGGCACAGCCTTACAGTAAATGGAAGACCTATTAGAACGGAGATAAGGAGAAACTTCTTCAGCCAGAGAGTGGTGAATCTGTGGAATTCACTGCCACAGAAGGCTGTAGAGGCCAGGTCATTGAGTATTTTTAAGACTGAGATAGATAGGTTCTTGATTATCAAGGGGATCAAGGGTTGCGAGGAGAAAGCAGGAGAATGGGGTTGAGGAACTTATCAGCCATGATTGAATGGCAGAGCAGACTTGATGGGCTGAATGGCCTAACTTCTGCTCCTCTGTCTTATGGTCTTAAGTGCTGAGTACATGATCCATCATGGCCTCCTCCCAAGGTCCCCAGCATTATAGATGCCAGTCTTAAGACAATTCATTGCACTCTACGTGATGTCAAGAAACAGCCGAAAATAATGGATAATACAAATGCTATGGGCCCTGATAACAGTCCAGTGATAGGACTGAAGACGTCTTCCAGAACTAGCTGCCACACCCAAAAATGACTTCTGCTCTTGTGATTTCTCATTTCTAACCAAACTCTTTCTACATTTTAGCTTCCTGGGGTTAGGGTTATCATTTTCTTTGTGCTAACACCAACATTAACTTAAACACACTCCCCAGATGTTTTCCTGGATGCCTGAAATTTCTAGATGTCATGCACCCTTCAAGATTTGGGTCATTTTCCATGTCATCCAACAGCCATGCCTCTGTGATGGCTACCAGATCATATTTATTCACTTCGATCTGGACTGTCAGTTCATTTGTTTTGTTTTGAATACTACGTGCATTCAAATAGAGTCTTTAATGTTATCTTTTTAATTTCTTTGTAAATTCTAGTCTTTGTTGTTTCTTAGATTTTCACTCCATATGCCTTTCTATTACAGTCTCTTTATTATTTGCCATATTATTACTTTCCTCATTGGCCTTGACTCGGTTTAATTCACATCTTCCCAGATTTGATCTTTGCCCCCATTATTAAAATCCTCTCTACCTCCCGAGTTAAGCAGTCAGCAAGGACAAAGGTACCAACATGGTTCAGGTGGAAACTATCCCACTGGTGCAGATTCCACTTTGTCAAGTACTGGTGCTGATGCTCCATGAACAAGAAGCAATTTCTCCCACACCAGTCCTGGAGTCACCAATACATTTCTCTAATGTGATTTTCCCTACACCGATTTCCATGTGGCCCAGATAATGCAAGGGTTATGCTTCTAAATTTGTTGCCTGGCTTTTCTTATTGACTGCAGAATATCCATCTTTGTCCTGTCTATGTTTTTGGTACCTACATGGATGTTGTGACTGGACCCATCCTCCTCCACTACAAGTTCCGTACCATAGTGTCACGGTCAGATAGCTTGTCACTCTGCAGCCTCACTCTCATCCCGACAGAAATCAGAATTAGTATGGTGCAGAAGCAGGTTATGTGGCCCTTTATGAGGTAAAAAAAACCTCAAACCTATTCGGAAATTACTAAGGGATGAGAATCCTGCCCTCTGGGTCCCCTTACCTGCCTCATCTGCAGTCATGCACATCTTTTTTTTACTATTGTCCAATTCAGATGACCTAATCAGAGATGTGACAGCCTCCTGCTACAAAGAATCGAGGTAACTCTTCTCCTCCCTGATCAATCATAGTGTGTGTAGTTCAGCCTCCAGCTCAAAATTTCACACAAAGCTGCTGAACCTCAAATAATTATCACAGACACATCTCCTCTGGACCAAACCTGCATCCAGAAGGCCGACATGCTGCAACTGTGACATTTCACCTAAAATAGAAATACTGCTGAAAATCTGAAATAGAAACAGAATGCTGGAGAAACTCAGCAGGTCCGTCAACATCCATGGAGAGCGAAACCGATGTAATGTTTCAAGTCTGACCTTTTTCTTCAGCGCAATCATATTGGACTCCAAGTGTTAACTCCATATCTTGGTCTGCAGATGCTGTCAGACTCACTGAGTCTCTCCAGCACTTTCTGTTGTCATTTGTGACGTATTGCCTCCGCTACCAATCGAAATGTATTCTAAAGAACTACTTGATTATTTTAGTTGATATTTTAATATTTTATTCAACTTACACACCGCCCTCCAGCTGCTATGCGATGTTGAACCTTAAGAATAGAACAGACCTTATAGCAGACACTCACCAAATAACTATCTTCTGCAGAAAAGGGAACTCACTAATACCTTCTCAAGGGCAATTAGGGATGGGCAAAACAAAAAAATATGCTGGCCAGTCCAAGTGCCTACTTCCGAGGAACGATCAAATCAACAGGAAACTCGTACAACTGGGTTTAACCATACATTATTGTGTGGAACAGGCCTTGCATCAGCAAGTGGAGGAGACTGGCCCGGACCTTCCTCTCTCATTGGCTTTCTCACCCAGTAATACAGAACCCCCAAAAAAGATGGCAGCCCATATGTGGTCAGCACATGCGCGGTGCAGCTTACTGCCCCCGAAAAAGATGGGCATCACGCACGCGCAGTTCATACAAACGATCGCCGTTCAAGATGGTCGCCATCAACCTGGGGCCTCGAAGGCAGGCCATGGCTGTCGCTCGGCAAAATACAAAAGAAGATGCGCTAAATTCTGATTCGGGGTTTGAGTCATACGCCAAGCGGTATAAATCTGTTTTAAATTACCTACCTTGCTGGCTGCAGCCCTCCCCCGACTCACCGACAGCGCCCTCAATCGCTGCGATCCGCAACACGACTGCCCGAGGCCGCATG